CCGACCAACCTGTGCCGACCAGCTCGACTCCTGCAACCTCCAGTCCGACACCGACTGGCCCGATTGTCTCCACCACGACCAGTCCATCCGCGACGACTTTGGTCCCACTGCAGTCACCAGCAACGACTCTATTTGACCTAATTGTTCCCCGTACTATGTCTCCACTTGTTGACACCACATCGGTACCGCCTTCAGTGTCTACGGCCGCTCCTCTTCCAGTGACGACAACAGCACTTCTTCCACTGCCTCCAACGCCGTCGACACCCCTGTCGACTTCTCGCGGAAAGTGTTAGACAGTTCTTCAGGAAGTGTTATTTGTATGAGTGGAGCGCAACCCTGTTGAATTCGTTCATTGTTACACGTATGCGATCATATTGGAATCCCGTCCTTCATCCATGCGAACTGTCTTACCATTAGACGCGTCCAGCCGCACGACTGTTGCGCGACCCAAGGGCCACCCCTGATCAACTGATCGATGCAAGGGGCCAATGGTTTCTAGACACTTGATGAATGCATGACATGCCTGGAGTGTCCACGAGGTAATGTAGGCCGGCATGCCATCGTGCTTGCTTTCGTTACTGGCTTGGAGGGGACGGAACGAGCTTACATACGCATGTGGTATATCATGGGATTGCTCGACTACGCCATGTGCACGGACGAACCTACGCCTTGGTGTCCACGTGAATCGTATGCAGGCGGACGTGCCATATTGAAATGGCATTCCGTCAGTTCGGATCGCAACAGAAAGTGTGCATCCATCCACAATTGAGGTGGGTAATGGATTGTTAGAGCGTAGAGATCGACCGTTTGGCGAACGACTTGAAATTATTCAGGTCCGTTGTCTCCTCCGTTCGCACACTTGGATCCGATCGAGGCCCACTTGGTTTGCTGCACGCACTCTGCCAGCGTGAGCTGCCGTGTAGAGGCAACGAGAACGGCGCTGCACGTGGCTGCCGATGATGTGTTGGCGCTCGTGTCAGCCTTGTACTGGTGCCGCCTGATGAATGTCGTTCAGTATACTGGGTGGTATGGCTTCACACGGAAACATGATCATACTAGGACGCGTTATATTCCGGCATGAGCGAACTTGGAGGGACAGTACAGTACCCATGAAAGACTGTCGCTTCAAGATCGCAAAAAAGCCAATCAGACTGCGATCCTCTTGCAAGGTCCAATCGAAAACGCAAATTTCGAATCATTTAAGCCAATGAAAAGAGATTATTTTCACCTCGCCACCCTTGCCTTGCTTGATGAACGGAGCATGGTACATTCCGCCGCGAAATGCATTGAATTCGATACATCCCAACGCAAAAACAGACCACGCTTCATCAGCCAGTCTCTCCAATCTTTATCAGCCAGTTTCAACCTCGCAAGTAAAGGACGGGACTCAATACAATCTTCATCGGGATTTTGGCGCTTTCTAGGCGACACAACCTTCTACGTGGTGACATTGACCGAACCTGGAGACTTCCTCAGGTTTACTGCAATTACGCCGGTATTTGGTTACGCAACTACATCAGACGCCTCCAAACCATCACGGTCGCCCTGTACCAAGAGACTACATGTCGGTTGCTTCTTTGAACAAAAGTCACTTTTGAATTCGCATTCAACTCCTCTCGACTCCAATGAAGTTGTTTGTTGCCCTCGTCGCTGCGTCCGCTGCCGCCTCCAAGCAGTCCGTGAGCACCCTCTCGGCGGACGTGCGGTCCGTGCTCCGCGCTGAGCTCGCCGCGTGGCGCAAAGAGTTTGAACCTGCCGCCGCGTCGCTGGGCGTGTTGCCCCAAGCTATGATGAGCATGTCCCCCCATGACGCGCTCCAGCGGTTCTACGACAACAAGCTCGCGATCGAAGAGGCTAGCCGCAACAACCTCGATGCCACGTTCGACTACAACAACCCGTTCGCTCTCATGACGCAAGCTGAGTTCAAGACTTTCGTGGAGGGTATGTCCCTGCAGGAAGTCGCAGCGCGTTCCACTCGGTCCCCGAGGCCGATATGAACGTAAGAAGCGTCATGGAGGCGTCGGTGGACTGGACTACCGGCAAGTGCGTCGACCCCGTGCGCGTCCAAGGCTTGTGCAACACGGGCTGGGCCTTCGTGGCAGTAGGTGCCGCCGAGATGGCGCACTGTCTCGTGACGGGAAAGCGCCTCGACCTGTCCGAACAGCAAGTGACGAGCTGCTCCACCGAGTATGGTACCGCGGGGTGCTACGGCGGGTTGCCGCCGGGTGCCATGACGTACTTGTAGAAGGATGGGCTCTGCTTGGAGAGCGACTACCCGTACGTGTCGGGCCTCATCGGTCTAACTGGCACGTGCCAGAGTTACTCGTGCACCAAGAAGCAGCTCAGCATCAGCGCGACGGTCCGCACGTCGAGCGAGGCGGCGCTGGACACGGCGCTCAACACGCAGCCTGTGTCGGTGCCAGTTGAAGCGGGCAACTCCGTGTGGCGAAACTACCGCAAGGGTGTGATCAAGCAATGCCCTGGGTCGTACTCGGACCATGCCGTCGTCGCCGTGGGCTATGACGAGGAGTCCTACAAAGTACGTAACTCGTGTGGCGCCAACTGGGGAGATGGCGGCTACGTCCGGCTCTAGCGCGGTGTGCACGGTAGAGGCACGTGCAACATCGCCGAAGACATCGTATACCCTGTTGCGAATTGGACATTCGTAGGAGTCATGGAGTGCATCCAAGAAACAATCCAAGACTCCGCTCAAGTTAATCCTACATGTGCAATGATTGGCTAAGTGTAATGTAGCCATTAGGGGAGGGTTTAAGTCCTGGGGGAGCCCCTCGAGGGAATTCATTTTGTGATTTGCTGATGTCTGGTAGCACTTGTTCGTCCTCCACCACGCCTGCATATTCATGGCAAGTAGCTACTAGCTACTTGCCATGAATATGACAAAAACGTCGACGATACCAAGTGCTTTGGCGCGAGCGACGAGAACGAGGTCGATGGAGACCGTCGTGACTGTTCCAATGCCGCTCATGGTGGTGGCGGGACAAGAGGCGGGACAAGATCACCCCTTGACTCCTCCGGGGCCATCCGAGTTGGACGAACTCCGGAAGCAGAACGTCGAGCGTGCTGCGGCGTCGTCGAGTGAATTCAACAAGATGACGTACGAGCAGATGGCGCAGTTTCACGCGCAGCAGCAGGCAATGGCCTTGCGCTTGTAAGAAGAATCCGGCCGACAGGCGGTGATGGCGGCTGAAATCGAGAATAGCCGCCGCGAACAAGAAGAATCGCATGCAATATTGTCGAAGAAGCAAGAACAACTGCGACGCCAACAAGAAGAGATCAAGATGGCGATGGCTCAGCAAGCCAGGGTGACTGGAGATCACCGGTTGTTGTTACAGCAAGCCTATGAAGCAATGAGGCAACTGCACACCAAGGTGGAGGAGCTGGACATGAAAGTTCGCCGTGATAGCAGGCGCTGGGGACTCTTTGCTGCTGCAGCCAATCAGCAACACCCTGCGCAAGAGGCGCCGGCGGTGATGAGCCGTCCAGAGACCCTTATTGGTGTTCAGCAAGTGCCGCTGGTCCCGATGTACAAGGGCAGCACGAAGCGTAAGCGCCGGGAATTCATGGATGAGTATCTGGCGTACTCTTGGGCACGTGGAAGCGCTGAACCGTGGTGTGGGAGGAATCCTCTTCCTCATGCCAGTGTCATGAGGAAGAGGATTCCTCCCACACCCATCCGCATCGTCATCTGCATCCTCCCAAATTTTGTCACTCACATCGTCACCAGCCTTGACACCGTTTTCGTCATCTGCATCGTCCCCCGTGTCGTGGTCAGCATAGTCACGGATTTTGCCCCCACTTTGGGACCGATTTCGAGTCAAAATCGTGCACTTTTTCCCTTCGAAACCGCGATTTGGACCAAAATTGGGTCCAAATCGTGGGGTTTTCGACTTGGACCTCCCAGATTAGGACCCAGATTGTGTGCAAAGTGTATGGGGTCGTCGTGTTGGACCCCCCAACCACCAATACACAACTGTCGTCACGATTGTCGTCCAAAATTTCGTCATCGTCATCGTCACATATTTCGTCATCCGCATCGTCATCTGCATCCTCCCAAATTTTGTCACTCACATCGTCACCAGCCTTGACACCGTTTTCGTCATCTGCATCGTCCCCCGTGTCGTGGTCAGCATAGTCACGGATTTTGCCCCCACTTGGGACCGATTTCGAGTCAAAATCGTGCACTTTTTCCCTTCGAAACCGCGATTTGGACCAAAATTGGGTCCAAATCGTGGGGTTTTCGACTTGGACCTCCCAGATTTGGACCCAGATTGTGTGCAAAGTGTATGGGGTCGTCGTGTTGGACCCCCCAACCACCAATACACAACTGTCGTCACGATTGTCGTCCAAAATTTCGTCATCGTCATCGTCACATATTTCGTCATCCGCATCGTCATCTGCATCCTCCCAAATTTTGTCACTCACATCGTCACCAGCCTTGACACCGTTTTCGTCATCTGCATCGTCCCCCGTGTCGTGGTCAGCATAGTCACGGATTTTGCCCCCACTTGGGACCGATTTCGAGTCAAAATCGTGCACTTTTTCCCTTCGAAACCGCGATTTGGACCAAAATTGGGTCCAAATCGTGGGGTTTTCGACTTGGACCTCCCCGATTTGGACCCAGATTGTGTGCAACCTGTATGGGGTCGTCGTGTTGGACCCGCCAACCACCAATACACAACTGTCGTCACGATTGTCGTCCAAAATTTCGTCATCGTCATCGTCACATATTTCGTCATCCGCATCGTCATCTGCATCCTCCCAAATTTTGTCACTCACATCGTCACCAGCCTTGACACCGTATTCGTCATCTGCATCGTCCCCCGTGTCGTGGTCAGCATAGTCACGGGTTTTGCCCCCACTGGGACCGATTTCGAGTCAAAATCGTGCACTTTTTCGCATGCATCGATCAAAAGATCGTGTCTCGTGTTTGTGAACATGATTTCGGCAAACCGTTCGAAGAAATCTTTGAAAATGAATGGCGGGACTACTTTCTATGTGCCCGTGAAGTTCATGAACTTAACCACGATTGTGTGCAAAGTGTATGGCGCCCTTGAAGATGAACACGCGGATTCGCGATGCGGAATCCCGCGTCGGCCGATTTCTACGAGAAGCTTATGCAGCTGGATGTGGCTTACCTGTCCAACCAGGAGCCGAAACAGTCGGTCAAGATTTTGACGGCTGCAATCCGACCCGCGGCGCTGAAAGTCGCGGTAGACAGGCAGCTCGCTCGGGAAGCAAACAAGGTCTACAAGACCAGCGTACCTGTGTTTGGCCGCTGGTTGACTCAGTTACACGACAACTTCATGTTGTTTGAGTCGCAAATGGTGACGGCGGAGAAGAAACCAGAAGAGAAACCGCATCGTCAGTACGGCGAGAAGTACCGGCAACCGCAACAGCGGAAGCCTGATGGTCAAGCGAAAGGCGCGGTGCCCCGCAAGGCAAGTGCTGTTTGCAAAGGGCTGCCTGAAGTGTGGCTGTGACGACCGATTCAAAGAAGCCGAAACTCGAAGCTTCACAAGCGCCGCGCACCGTGTGCTGCTCTGTGAATGGCATGGAAGAGCTGGCGCCACTTGACAGCGGAGAGGATCAATCAGTGGTTTCGCCTGCATTGATTGCGCGGCTGAACGAAGCCAGCGCTTTGCTTGCCCCTGTGTGCAAGTTGGATTCTGTCCTGGAGCTGGGCGGATTCATGGAAGAAATGAAGCTTTCCGTCGCCCGTGAAGTTAAGCTGAAGTTGACATTCGACACGGACGAAGGTCGTCTGGTTCTGACGAACCTGACGTGCTGGGTAGCCGCAGCGCCTCTGCACAGCGGTCTCGGCGGCATTATCGTGAGCCGTGCAGTGATGGCTCGTTTGGGATACTTTCCCATAGCTCAATGGAAGCTGCGCGGCGTGCTCAATAAGGTCTATGACCTTTGCCAGCTGGGCGGCCAAGAATCGTGTCTCATGGCGGCAATTAAGATCCTTGAAGACAGAAGCAGCCACCGATAGCGCCGGAAGAAGTGGCGCTAAACGTGGATGAAGAATTATCTTGCTTTCTACAAGTTGACGTGGACTAGTCAGTCGACGAAGACAAAGCGGCGGTGCGCGCAAAGCTCAAGGAGAAGGTCGGCGAGTGCCGAGTTACAGGATGCGATGACGACTATGCCGTCGAGATGGGGAGGTTGCTCGTCAAATACGAAGACGTGTTCCGACTCAAGCTGGGTCGGGATCCGCCGGTCAAGGTGGAGCCTCTACGTGTGCTCTCAAGGCTGACACGAAGCCTGTGCGCTGCAAGGCACGACGCTACTCGAAAGAGCAGCGGGAGTTCATGGCGAGACATGTGGAAGAACTCCAGGCTGCTGGTTTATGCTGCTGCAATCCGCGGTCAATATGGTGCTCGGCGCCACTTATCGTGAAGAAACCCGAAGCGAACGAATTTCGCATGACAGTGGACGTCCGTCCAGTCAACGCTCAGACGGTTCGGATCCTCTGGCCGATTCCAATGCTAGAAGTTATCCTCGACCACCTCTGTGGTGCCCAAGTCTTTTTCACATTGGACTTTTTCAAGGGCTATTGGCAGTTTGCGCTGCATCCTGACTCGCAGGAGATGTTCCCGTTCCTTACGGACATCGGCGATTACACGCCAACCCGAGCGTTGATGGGCGGCACGGACAACGTGGCGTTTTGCCGGTCATCTGTGCAAGAGGTGTTTGCGGACGAGCTATACCGCTGTCTGCTCATCTGGCTAGATGATTTACTCGGCTACTGCAAGACCAAGGACAGTTTGCTCGCCGCGTTGGAGCGCGTACAGAAGATTTGCGAGTTCCGTTGGCTCAAGTTGAACCCAAAGAACTGTCGGTTCTATCAAACCGAAGCGCGCTGGTGAGGGCGAATTGTGTCTGGCGAAGGGGTAAAGCATGACCCCGAGCGCATCAAGGCGCTACAAGATTTGAAGGTGCCAGCGACAGGCCAAGACCTCCAGCAATTCATCTGCGCGATGAACTGGATGCGCATGTCCATACCACGCTACAATGTGGTGGTCAAGCCTTTGGCTGACTTGATGGAATGTGTTTACACGTTGGCGGGTGGCCGCACTCGCCAGAAGGTCGCGAAGATTCCGCTGTCGGAAGCCGGATGGGATGCCAGCCATGTGGGCTGTCTTGCGGAGTGCAAGAAGGCCCTCGGGCAGGCCTTGACGTTGGCTCAGCCGAAGAGCGACAAGCTTGTCTGCGTCTTTGCAGACGCCAGTGACTTGCACTGGGGCGGCGTGGTTACGCAGATCCCGCCAGAGCAGGCTGATCGTGAGCTGGATGCTCAAGAGCATGAGCCTCTCATGTTTTTGAGCGGCACATTTTCTGGCGCCGCCCAACGATGGGCTGTTGTGGAAAAGGAAGCGTTCTCGACTGTCGAGTGCTTGAAGCGCGCAGATCATCTTCTCCACAAACCGGGTGGATTCTCATTATTTACCGATCACGCGAACTTGAAATTTTCTTTCTACCCTACAAGGTCAACGCGGCGATCCCGAAGTACACTGCCGCGAAGCTCGACCGATGGGCTTTACCCTTGATGGGGTATGATTACACAATCTATGATATCACCGGCGAAGCAAACGTCTGGGCGGATTTACTATCCCGCTGGGGTACAAATTCCCCGACAATCTGTCCGATTGTGCATATGCACCCACAGCAAGACGTGTAACGCTGTCAACGAATTAGGGGTATTGGACTTCAATCATGAGTTGGTGCACGCTTTGTCGTTCGTTGACGTGAACCCTCTCAAAATCGACGAAACAAACGTCACGCCTACCAAAACAGCACGTAAAGTCGTTGTTCACGAATCAACCAAGCATATTTACGTCGAAGAGTCAACGGCCTCGTCTCACGGTTGTCGCCTGTGTCAGTGCTCGCGGTGCCAAAATTCTACTGCTAAGGTAACGCATCGAATTCCCGAACTGCATCAAATTCACGAACTGTTCAGTATTGTCCAATCCGTGACCTCTTTCTCATTGCGATCAAATTCTATTGGTCATGATTTTATTCACCATCAATCCTTGACATGTCAAATTTCAACCAAAATTTAATTTCTCTCATTCTTAAATTACCCGCCATGACATTTGGGAAGCGCCAAAACGTTTTTCGCGCATAACTTCCGCAATATTGCTCCGATTTCCTTCAAATAAAGCTCAAAATCTTCCTTTTGATTCGCTCTATCGATTGCCGCCAATTTGTGAATTTGAGGACAAAACGACCGAAATCCAAAATTGCGAAAGTTATGCGCGAAAAACATGTTGTTGTCTCAATGCCACCTACGAAGGCAGACTTCGAGGCGACCCTTGGCCGCCTCGCCGCCGGTGAAACCCCGGATGAAGTAGCAAGGAACTCACCACTCAAACGCAATACCATGTACAGGTACAAGAAGATGATGGTCAAAACTGGTACTATCTCAATTGGAAAGCGGAGGGTGAAGTCGTCGATATCAGCAGGTCTTGAACATGATCTTGTGGCATGGATCGCCGCTATGCAGCGGTCAGGATGACCTGTTGAACGTTACGATATCATGCTCAAAGCCAGTGAGAATGTCTCTTACCACAGTGGTGTGCCTCGTACTGTTGGCCGCGGTTGGTACGCCCGCTTCGAGAAACGACACCAGGAGCTGTCCGAGCGAGTTGCGCAAAAATCGAGCCAAGCTCAAATACTGTGACGAAGGAAGGAATAACGAAATACTTCTTCGACCTGGTGAAAGGCTGCCTTGGGTTTTGTGCACCGCTGGCGACATCTACAATGTTGATGAACGTGCACCGCTGGCGACATCTACAATGTTGATGAAACAAGTTTCAAGACAAAGGGAGAGACAAAGAAGGTCATTGCAGTCCGAGGATCCAAAAACGTGTGGCGCGGTGACAACTCTGAATCGTACCGCATGACGATTGTTGCTGCAGATGGCACCCCCGTCTCGCCGGCATTCATACTGCCTGGCCGAACCTGCGCTACAACTGTGCTTGACCAGTGCCCGGTCAAAGACGCAATGATATCAGCGACGCCGAAGGCACTTATGAACGCTGACCTATTTGACAGTTGGTTAGAATGCTTTGGAGAATGGAAGTTGAAGAAGTGATTGCCGTCCTTGTCCTAGACAACTGCTCCTCGTATGTATCGATGAACAGCCTGCCGATTTGCGAAGCGTACGGAATCTGTTTGGTCCGTCTCCCGCCGAATGCTACGCTGTTGCTTCAGCCTCTTGATGTTGCTTTGTTTCGTACCTTCAAGAGAAGAATTGCGAGGAGCGTTACGAAGCGACTCCAGGCGAAGAACACGACATCGTTGCCACGGGACGAACCCATCAAAATCGCTGGCGAGGCGGTCAATGTTGTGTTCCCTAGCACGAACATTGGTATGAAACAGAACTTGCCTGTTGTGAACGGGTTTCGTACCTGTGGCATCTGGCCATTGTCGCTTCCGCGGATGCTTGCGTCGTTGGGAGGTAGCAAAGGCGAACAGTGTGGCGGACTCTGTCGGAAACGATGGTTGGGAGAAGACAAGGGATCATGCCAGACAAGAAGTGCTTACCGTGCCTCCAAACAAGCAGCGCAAGAGAGTCGCAACGGATGGATCTGCATTGGTTTACTCGTGATGAGCTGTTGGTCTTTGCCACGCAACCAGCCCCCCCCCCAAACGAAAGAAATGATTTTTTGTTTAGCATCATTAAAATTGCCTGAAATTTAATGAGTTTTTGTGACATCGTTTATATTTGTGAATTTTGTGACCTTTGCAAAAAGGATTTCATCGTTTTCGTGAAATTGCTTGGATAACAAGGACGATGTCATTATTTTCTGAAAAACAAATACTACCTAGTACTGTAGTTCTTTTCTTCTGCAGGAATAGTGGCGGACGCACTGAGGTTCCAGCGCACACTGACTATCTGGCATATCGTACACATCGACGCCAGGGATTGAATCCTGTACCACCTGACTTACAGGTGTGAGCTACTAGTAAGTACCTGAGGTGGCGCAATTAGCTAAGTGGTAGAGCGTCATACTTGAAACAGGAAGGCCCTCGGTTCGATTCCTGACTTAAACTTTCCGACGGATTTTACCCCTGCACCTGGAAAGCATGATTGTCCGGATGAGGGGACCCCCGTTCTGGTTAAAACGTCCGTTCGTTATATATCTGAAAATCAAAATCACCTCCCCTAGAGTGAACCTTATCAGGGTCTATTCTTTTAAGGCTCGTCTGGCCCGCAGTGCCTCTATTGCGGGGACACCTCCCAAGTTTAAGGCGTGCTCAACATCGTAAGGGTAGAGCGGGGAACACGAATGACATTTTGCAATCCTTGGACCTCACTGGGCAATATCCACGAAATGGATAGTCACGTGTTCGAAATGATCCGCTTCACCGCATCGTCGCGGTAGTGACGTTCAGAGTTCTCGAGGACAATTCCCATGACGGGAAGTTTGTGTTGCCCCCGAGTACACCAAGGCCGACTGCGACTACTACAGTGCTGATTTTGGCTCGGTTTGGTGCGGCGACAAGCCAACTCCGACCACCACCTTGCCGACTCCTACCACCAAGCCGACCCCTACCACAAAGACTCCTACCACCAAGCCAACCCCTACCACAAAGACTCCTACTACCAAGCCTACTACCTCCAAGCCGACTCCTACCTCTACCAAGCCTACTCCTACCACCAAACCCACTCCTACCACCACCGGGGCTGTTGACTGCGGCACGTGCAATGTTTGCTACGATCCGGCCACAGCTCAATGCATGGACACCATCAGCAAGTACGATTGCCGAGCCTTGACCCCTACCAAGGGCTACGTGTGGTGCGGCTTCTGGTAAAGCCTGTCGCCTGCAATCATTTTCGTTCGTGTCGCCGTAGGAGTTTGTTACTTCTAACGCTAGAAATTTGACATTGCGTCATTGTCAGGTGCTATGGTCAATTACGCCGCTTGATATCGCCTCCATGGTAGTATAGTCTGGCGATGTTAAGCAATGGTTTTGCTTAGCTGCGTTAGCGATCGCATTCAGCACCAGTTGTGAGTTTTCAGTACTGTAATTTTCGTCTCGAGATCGAATGGACCAGAAGTGCTACAACTGGTGCTTCCAATCTCTTGTGGGGACCTCTTGCGCAATCTAACGCGGCGAACCAGTGATCTGCATCTTTTGTGGTAAACTTCATCCTCCCCTTTCTCCACGATAACG